CCAAGTAAGATAGTAAGTGATGAAGCAGCCTGGTTTGCTGGTAGCAGGCCCAGAAGTGCATGACTCCTTCCCTCCCTGCGGTCTTCTTTTTCGTCTCTCACTGGACAACTGAAGAATGGTGGATGAGCAGAATACTGGTGGAGCAGTCTTAATTGTGGCCCTGATATCAGCAAGGGGAGGGTGTGCAGAAGACATTCTTCACATGTACGGACACTTTCCCTCTCTCCCTTCACCAGCGCTCCTTATGCCAGAGGACACAACAGGAAGAGAGGGAGAGGATATGGTACATACAATATCCAAATTAACCTGTTCAGCCGTCCGAAATATCGAGGAAGAGAAGTGGGGAAGGGCACACAAGATAAAACCGCGGAGAGCTGGTTCAAGATCACAGTGAGTGTCCTGGCGAGGCCTACATTAAGTAGAGTATGCTGGAACCCAATAATAGAAGGAAGATTGTGTTACCCAAGGTAGGCTGCTTATTTGGAGGAGAACCTCTAGATGCAGAGAAAGGGGAGTTTGGAAATCCACATTGGGCACAGAAACAAGGAATCATGCCAGTGTTCCTGCTAGAAGTCCTTTACAGCTAGGTGGAAAGTCAGAAAAGAACACTTAGTTGGGTCTGTTGTCTGTCCTGATTCCATGTGGTCTCTCTTTTCTCCTCTTCCTTGATTTTACCTTTAGGTTCCGTATGGCGCAAAATATGACAGGGCCTGGCTACTGAATTTAATCCAGAGCCATTGCAGTGTCCCCTTCAGCCCGGTTGATGTAAGAGAGGATGGTGAAGCCAGCTGAGTGGGACCAAGGGAGGGGGACGCGTGGCTCCGCGGGAGGCCGTTGGCATCTGACACCACTACTTCTGCCATCTCTGCCTGTAGTTCCACTGCATCGAGAGACGGGCCCTGTTCTTTGTCCAGGGCACCAGCAGTGCCTACGCAATAAAGGATGCCAGCAACAAGATTTACGATACGGACAACCGAAAGGTGTGTGCTGGGGCCCATTCCTTGCACCTAGTGCTGGAGCTGGTGGGCAGGCCAGGGGCTGCCTGCTGGTGATTGTCGTTGTCATCAGAGGTCCTCCCCTTCCCACAGATAACTCTCTTTGTCAGTCCTTCAGTCGTCCCCTACTCTGAGCAGGATAAGTACACACCAGAAGAAATGGAGCAGCTAAAGGTAATGCAGACTCAAAGCACTCAAAGTTGTATACCCACTTCCCACACACACCTCTTCTTCCTCCAGCTCCTGACGCTCTTGTCACTGCCAGCCATACAGCCTCACAGCCACTCTCTCTGTTTCTGCAGTTGACCATGAGGAAACGATATGATGTCTCCCAGCAGGCGCTCAACCTTCAGAAGCTCCGCTTTGATGCAGGTACGGCTGACCCGCAGTAGCTCTAGGCCAGGTGAGAGCAGAGGGATCTGCCCGGGAGGAAGACGCACTGAAGGCAACTTGCTGAGGGTCTGTACTGACACTGGTTCAGCCCGGCCCCTTCCAGCCGCCTTCCGACTCACTTTCTCTCCCCGCTACCCCCTCTCTCCCCCTCCCCCCACCCCCCTCACTCTCGGCTTCCTGAAGGCTTGGTGGGCCACAACATTGACATGATCCTGAATCGAAGAAATTGCATGGTTGCCACCCTGCAGATCATTGAAAGTGATTTCCCTCAGGTGAGGCCTTAGGCCCGGTGCCAGAATTCAGGCAGAGGGGCAGACAGGATGGGGTGCAGACACAGGCTT